GAGGCTGTTATCTCGCACCAGCTCAGTCTGACACTTCACAGCATCACCTGGTCCAAGAAGAGGAGGGTGGAAGGGTCCTTACAGGCAATTTTATTTTCACTTTTCTTCTTTTTTATGCACAGGGAGCTGCCAGGAGGATGTCACCTTTCCTGGACATTTTGTCCAGCATTTGCTTTGTTGTCTTTTGTCCTTTCTCACTCCTCAGTGTCTTTCAGACTAGCTTCCAGTTTAGTTTTGGCCATAAAGGCAGCAGTAACTCAGAGTTAAAATACACAGATCTGCACCACCATCAGAGCATTACAGAGTCTGATGCAGGAACATGTAACTTAATTTATTGTTTTCCACCTTCTCTGTTAATGAAATCTCGTCCTGAATTGTTACACGCAAGTCCATGTTCATCTCAGCAAGAAGTAAATTACCTGCTGAAAAAAATGCCATATTTCTGCAGCTCTGACATCGATTCAGTCCGTGACCTTGACAAGCAAAGACTCAATACATCCCTTTTCCAGCCTCTGAAACAACAATGTGTCTACTACAGCAGCACAGCATTCACGGCTGCATTATCACGGGGAGCTGATAGCTCCTGCCATGCTCCATGAACACCAGCACACCCCTGTGTGTGTGGAGTGCTCGATAAGGAGCAGGACACGTGGCAGGAGAGCAGCCCTGAGCACAACCATTTGTACCTGAAAGCCTCATTGTTGGCTTTTCAACGCTGGAAAGGGTTTGCTGCCGACAGCTGAGGCGTTCGGAGTGGCTTGTGTTAGTCTCAAGTAGTATTAACCTTGGAGGCAGACAAGTTCATAGGAAACCCTACACTTGGAAGTCTGCATGTGCAAAACATGCCCAATAATGTCACAGGTCAGAGAGTCAGCGAGGGGAGAGTCCACAGGGGATTGCCAGGCTGTCCTTCTGCCCAGCTCCCAGGGTGGATGGACTGCCAGGCTGTCCCTCTGCCCAGCTCCTGGGGTGGATGGACTGCCAGGCTGTCCCTCTGCCCAGCTCCCGGGGTGGATGGACTGCCAGGCTGTCCCTCTGCCCAGCTCCCAGGGTGGATGGGCTGCCTGGCTCTCTATAGGCTTCCCGAGGAGCTTTCATGCAATGCTGCTTCCCTCCAAACATAACCAGGAGGTCTCAGCTTTGCTGTCACGGACACGTTTTGCTGTTTCCTTCCTGCTCTGGCTCTACTCGTGTGGCTTGATTTTCATGCTGTGAAAGAGCACTGAAAAATCTTGGTGTCTGCAGCAGCTCAAGCAGCTCAAGCCCAGGTGTTCATCCATGTGAGGATGGAGCTACTGTTAAGCCTATTTCAGGGTCTCCTGAGCTCTTGGTGACTTCCATGTGAGGAATGAACTGTAGGAAGAAAGATTTCTCTATCTCAGGGAGAAGAAATCCTGAGAGAGGGTAGTTTCATGGAGAGATTGCATCAGACGGTTAGAAAAGATGCCAGGTTGAACATCTGTGTTTCTCGAGCAGGTAACTTTTAGGTGCCAGTGGGATGATGCACCAGCCCAGGCCATCAACTTGAGCAGTTAAAAAAAGTGAGTGGTGTTGACAGTTCTGCCTCCTGCCCTTGCAAGACTGAAATTTGGCAAGTGCCTGAACAACAGGGAAGGCTGTCTTCACTTCCAAAGAAAATTACGAGTAGTTGAAGGGCTAAAACCTTTAAGAGGATGATAAATAACCGAAGGAGTTTGAAAGCATCTGATAAAACAGAATTTAAAGAAGAACTGAGTCTGGTAGAAGGTACATGGTAGAGGGGTATAATTCTATGGTCCAGAAGTGACTAAACAAACCTGTATTTTCAGGAGTAGCTTAGAATAAGCTGAGCTTCACTTCAGCAATGTGACATGCCTGAGGAGGAGCTGGACAACCCTGGAGCAGTCCTCTCCCAACTTCTCTTCTCTGATAGAAAGAAACCTTCCTTCCTCCCACCAAAGCTGGACAAGCTTGGAGCAGACCTCTCCCAATTTTCTCTTCTCTGATAGAAAGAAACCTTCTACTTGAGACCTCGATTCACCACTTGAGATGTGTTCCTCAGGATAACACAAGCATTTGCCTTCATTCAGTAACTTCAACAGCCCTAAGCTTGCTGGAGGGAGACACATCCTCTGCTGATGCTGCAATTCATTAGCTGTGTGCACTAACAAGCCCCTGGGGAGCCCAGGGCTCAGACAGCCTCATCCCAGGGGCATCAGACCAGGCACGCTGGGGTGTCTGCTGTGCTCAGGAGTCCCACGATCCCAGGCAGGTGGATTGCGTTCAGAGCCTGCTGTGGTTCTGTGTCTCAGCTCTGCACAGACACGCTGGGATGTAATTGAAATGAGGTGAAGCACCAGCTGCCTGTGGGCAGGGCTGTGCTGGCTGCAGCATCCACAATTTGATCTTGCTCTCTCGGGGCCCAAATCTCTACTCTGAAAAGCAAATTTAGAATATTGAGGTTAAACTTCAGTTAATACATGATGGCATTTTTCTTCTGATGGTATCAAAGCTCCCTGAGAGACCCTCAGTCTGGTGTTCAGCACTGTGTCTCAGGATGTGCAGGGAATACAGCTCACGCTGCCTCAATGGTGGGCATTGAAAATAAGCACTGTCAGTGCTCACTGTTTGATCACATCCACGAGCACAAGGGGTTCGTGGTACAGACACCCATCGTTCTGACTCTTGCTATTTTCTCTAAGTCCGAGCCAAGACACTTTCTCATTTGTCTTAGGCAAGAAATCATGATTAAAACCACACTTCTGCCTACATTCTCCAGCAAGGATTTGAGGATCTTCCCTCGAGGCATTCCCAGCTCCTTAGTATTCCTGGTGGGTAAAAAGATGTTTTTCCCTTGCAGTGGTAAGCAAAATGGGTTTGGGTTCATTTGCAGTTGTAAAGTTGGTGGTTGAGACAGTTTAAACCCATGAGTTGTGTTTCCAGACAGCCAGAGCTGCTTGGGGGCAGCTCAGAGCACATTTTGCAGCTGCCCCTGGGATCACCTCAGGTGGGTGTGCTTAGGAGGGGCGAGGGAGGAGGAAGGTGGATCCTTAGGTGGGCAGGGCAGGACAAGAGCAGTGGGAGGTGCAATTTGAGTGTTTAAAGCTGTTAGGGTGTCTGTAAGTGGTGAGGATGAGGTGAGGAGTTGGTTAGTGAGGCAGGTAATGTAGTGATGTGTCTGGTAGCACCAGAAAGGACAGAGCTTGCAGGGATGTCCCAGGTGGTGAGGCTCAGCTGGAAGGACAAAGTCCCTCTGTCAGGCTTCTCCTGTGGGCCAGCACAGCACATGAAAGATGACTCGGGTGAGTGATCCTCAGCCTGTTATGGTTAGTGTTTGATTTTCCGAGCTGGATAATGCCCGACCTGCACATCCTCTGGCTGTGTGAACAGCAGTTGGCACTGGGGAGGGATCAGGATCGTGTGGCTGGGGGTGGAGAGGGTGAAACTGCTGCCAAAAGGACAAGTGCTACCCATGTTTGTTGGGTTAGGCTGTGCCTGAGTGGCTGTCTAAAACTTTTGCTGTCTTTGCTCTCCTGAAGAAAAGGAGTCAGTGAGCCCTTTGGGTTGGGTTTTTTTTTCCTAATGAAAATGTGCAATCATTTGTGTAAAATTTCAGGTGTTCAAGGTGAGCTACTTTTTCACTTATTGTTCACATGGAGGCTCTGCCTCCACAGGTGGAATGTGTGGTTGGCAGGAGCAGTTTTCAGAGTCTCTCTGTGGTCATTTT